TTGAATCCCCCGACATAAGGGGGGAAAGCAGTTTCGTCTCCAGACCTCTCGGTGTAGGTAGGTTACATTTTTAGCACAGGTTCCCTATATTTGCTTTGTTGATCCCTTGGTTGAAAAAGAACTGTTTTGTAGCTTCCTGGGGGAAAAAACAAACAAACAAACAAACAAAAACAAAAACAGCCCGCATATGGAATTGGAGCAGGCGTGAGGGCTCATTCTGACATCTCAGTTTGGTGACATTTGTTTGTTTGCTCTTTACTATTGTAGTTTTCCCCCCACAGATTCCTCAGTTCCTATCTACTGACCCCGCCTGCCTCCTCGGTATGGTAAACAATGGAGCCATCCCTCCTTGAGAACCTCTTGCAGTCCTTTTGCATTTTCCTTCCCAGGTCTTAATATTTCCTTTGTATCCAGGTTCACTCCAGGCCACCCTGCTCCACCCTCCTTCATCCATCTCTGTCTGATTTTGTAAGTTCCGAGGGCTTATCTTAGGAGATCATCACACCGGTAGGTGTTTGTAGGAACACACTGCCTCTTCCTGGTCGTTCTTTGTGTGGGTCAGACCATCTATTTTGATAATCCATGTGGATGACTCTCAGACTGAGCATAGGCAGCTAAGGAAGTTCTAAACATGGGGATTTTGCTGAGGGAAATACAGTGGGAAGTGATTAACGTATTGGGGCTTCATTGCTGGGTGAAGGCACGTCTCAATATGTTGTCTCAAAAAAATGAACAGTTGCTTAATATTAAGCTGCAAGAAAAAAGGGGGCTTGATTCAACCTTAACCTTGGTTGTTAATCAGATTTTCATTGACATATTTTTAAATGACTTTGTCGTGGATTAAATGTGAGTGTAGTCATGAACCCTAGAGCAGGAAAGGAACTAGCTTGAGGGAATATTAATACAGCTCTTTAAAGACTGACCAAGTGTATTGCTGAGGCATAAGCTTCAGGTGAAGCCATGACTAAGAGAATGTCTAAAATCTTCCGCCGTTAATTTAGGCTCAGCCCTCTCCTCTCCTACTTCACTGTTCACCCTGTCTTCCTGGAGGGAGAGCAGCAGCCTCTCTCAGGGCAGTTGCTGCTTCTGCAGAGGCGGTTAGCAAATAGCCATCTCAGTCCCACATGTCCCAGTGTGAAGTCAGCAGTAGCTTCGGCTTTAAATTACTTGACTACACATGTGTGAGAAAGGAGTAAGTGAAGGCAGGATGGACTTTAAACTCTTTAGATTTGATCTTACGCTCAGGATCTAGAAATGATTTTAGGGAATCCCTTTCATTGTACTTCTTGGCTGAGAGACTTTATGCTAAACACCCATATTTAATGATGTGATTTAACTATTCCTAAAAAATCGAAAGATATTAGAGAATGGGAAGGCAGTCAGATGACCAGCCGTCATACTATCGTGAGCAACCATGGTGTGCTAGGCACCAGATTAATTTTAATGCAGGCATGATTATGATCATCTTAATCCTAATTTACATCTGAGGATATTTCAGCTCAGACTTGCCCAAAGCCTACACTTAGGATAACCTGCAGGATTCATACTTGGGTCCTTCAAATATCAAGCTACATGCTTTTTTAAAAAAACTACACTGCACATAGATAGGGTATTAGATGGAAAAAAATGTAGATTATTAGCATACCACTGAAACTAAAATTTTATACACATTTTGTTGATAGTGAGTGAATAGCATTAGCCTTGTATATGAGTAATTGTATGTTACCATTGGGCTATATAAACTTTTGATTAGGTGAATATACAATGTTTATTTTGGATAGTGGCTAAAAACCACTGGATAGTTACCCACCTCAATCATGTTCATTTCAGTATAGTAACTTGAGAGAGGCAGAACTTTATTTTATCTACAACATTATAGTGATTTGAAAAGTTACTTGCCCCAATGTGTAGTATTTTTCTGAGATAATTTTCACAGCAACTCTATAAAATAGGCAGATCATTGTGGTATTATTTCTGTTCATAGATAAAAAAAAGTGAGCCCCAGGAAAATTAGGTCATGTGCTACAAGAAATTCATGCAGCATACCAGGACTTAAATTCAGATTTCTGAACAAGAAGCTGATGTTTTTTCTCATTTACATTATTCTGTATGGCCTTTGTGTGTGTCGGGGCCTGATAATCACGTGATGTGTGATTGGCTGTGGATCGTTCAGTGTAGGCTTTGATTTCCCCCAAGTTTCTACTTCGGACATGCTTATCTGGCCACAGTTTGTCCAACTACTTTGAAAGAGGAACTACAAGGGAAGGATGAAGTCATACAGAAGAAAAATGGGAACCCAGATGTAACAGCTCCTATACTATATACTTTCTGTGGTCCTTTTTGGGGGATTTCACACCCCCCCCTTGCCCTTAAATTGCCCTTTGATCCTTGATCCTGTCTTGCACCCTTTCTTCCATCAAGGAGACTTGTAACGATGTCCAGTAGGGTGTAGTCGTGGTCTGCTCATTTGGGAAGAGGAGTGTCCCTCAGAAATCATAGGTGCCTTTACCTGGGGGCGCAGGAAGAAGAGGAATGCTGAGGACTAAGGATCATGGGAAAGTGTCAAACTATTATTCAGTTGGAGAGTCTTAGCCACTCGAAAGGGGAAAAAATTGTTAAGATAAAAATGCTGCCGAAACCGGTTTGGCTCAGTGGATAGAGCATCGGCCTGCGGACTGAAAGGTCCCGGGTTCGATTCCGGTCAAGGGCACATACCTGGGTTGCGGGCACATCCCCAGTAGGAGATGTGCAGGAGGCAGCTGATCGATGTTTCTCTCTCATCGATGTTTCTAACTCTCTATCTCTCTCTCTTCCTCTCTGTAAAAAATCAATAAAATATATTTTAAAAAATGCTAAAATCATATACATATTGTTAGAATTTTATCCAAAACTTACTCTGTTCAGTTCAAATGTACATTAAGAAAAGGAGTGAAGTTTTTAAAAAAGAAGTAGGTTAGGTTGAGACCAACAAGTAGCAGATTATATTCCTGAGATTTTTTCACTTAGTACTGCAGTTAATTACTTAGCTTCGGCTGATTATAGCTTTTAGAGCGAAGAACAGGATGAGAAAAATTCTGTTACTTTATCACTACTGTAGGGGTGGTGGTGACAGTCCTCAGATGTCACAAACAAAACTCGGTCTACTCGTGCCGCGTTTTCAATACTCTTGGCATCCAGCACTTACAGATTGAAGCAGTTTTTTAATGTAGATAGCTGTCTCATAATTCAAGATCCAAGTCAGTTATTCTGAATGCAGAGAGGCTGAAAATATTGATACTTCAATGATTTTTATTTAGTGCTTTAAAATTGAAGACATACATGTGGACCGAAAGAGTAGCCTGAATAGTAGGCTGTGACTGAACCAAGTTCAACTTTAAAGGAAAACATTTTGTGTAGTGAATTGGCTTACATGTAGTGTATGTATATATAAGGTAACACCTTTCATTCTAAAGAATTTTATTTTAGATTAAAAGGGTGTTTTTTGTGTGGTGTGTTTGTGTGTGTTTGGGGGGCATGTTTATAACTCTTGACTTACCTATTGCCTAATATGCCACAAAAATACCCTGCAAAACCTTAGTCACAGGAGGGCATCGAAACGCAGCTGGGCAGTGGACTTCGTGCTGCTGTCAGATCCGGGTGGAATCCTGGACCTGCCGCTGCTTCTGTGTCCTTGAGCCAGTTGCTTCATCCTCCCGGGCTGCAGGTCCCCCCTTTTTGGAATGGTAGTGAGTGACCCCTGCCTCTGCTCTCGGCTTGCTGTGAGTTCCTAGTTGGAAAAGCACTTTTTAAATCGTAAGGACTAATGCAAAAACGGTTAGCTCTTACTCTTCCCATTTAAATTTTTTTTATTTTTCTGATTCTTTTAAGAGTTCTGTGCTTTTCCTATCTTTTTCCCTCTTATAAACTGGAGGGAAAAGACTTAGAATTATTACCCATTTTTGACCTAACCACTTCATACACACACACACACACACACTTTCTTTTAAACAGGCAATAATTCCCAGAGGGGTTAAGTGACTTACTTGTTCAAGGTCATGGAGCTGGTTAGTGACAAAACTGACTGACGTTTGATTTAGTTCATTCTCATATTTAACTTTATGCTGCAGCTCATGTAAAAATTACTTATTTCCACTTCACTAATTTGGATGTGTTTTATGCCGTTTTTTGAGGATTCTTGAACATTTACGACTTCCTTTTCCTGCTTCCATTTACCCTTGTCATTCTACACTTTGGTTTATTTGACATTCTTTCCAGTTTAAATATTCTTCCTGTAGATAATTCCTCCCCAATTTCCCTAGATGTTCTTTACTCACTCTCTTTCCCTTCCTCCGACGTAAAAGCCATTTTCCCTGAAGCAGTCCTGGCCTCCTTGTTTCCTGCGCCTTTCTGCTGTTTCTGATTTCCATGTTCGTCCTCTGCTCTCCTTCCCGGGTTCCTCTGTCAGCCTTGACCTCTACGGCTGTTCACCTCCATCATGTTTTCCGATGCCCGCTCCTTTCTGGTATGCCTTTGGACGGATGGTATCAGCTTAGTTGTTTTTAATGTTTTGCTTGAGGCCTTTCATATGCCACCGAATGTTCCAGTCTCCCTTTCATTGGAGCACATTCTCACACAGTTTTCATGGGTGCATTTTACTACCTGCTTGCATTCTACCTCCTTTTCCACTCTGCTCTTGTTTCTGCACTGGAAACGTTCACTCTAGGATGACATTCAGATCATTTATTGAGCCATAGTCATAGCTTATCTTTGACTCTGATTACAGCCAAAATCTTTCTGTTCTAAAAAAAATGAAAGAAACAAACAAAAAACTGATAGATGGTTAACCAGAGTCTTCCCTTACAATACTTTACTTCACGCCTGTGTTTTCTAGTCCAAACTCTGAACTGTTCTGCCACCTTTATTGGAATATTTGATACTTCATTATCACATCTTTCCAGAACCAAGTCGGAGCTTTATTTCTGAACTACTTAGATAGTATCTGTAGTCCTTGTTTGCTTATTAAAAATTTTCAAGTGTTTGGAATTCTTATTTTCCTTATTCATTGTCCCAAATTCTATTTCTTTACCAAAGGAAAATACTTATCTTTTTGGTTGCTGCTTATTCTATTCTCTGAGTCCTGTTTGGTAAGCTTTTCATTCATTTGTTCATTCAACAAATATGAAGTGAATACCTTCTATGTATAAACATTGTTTTAGGAGCTAGGAATAACTGAACAACGGGAACAAAACGCTCCTGTTCTCAAGGAGCTTAAATTCTACTGGAGGTAGGCGAGGGGGTCAGTAACATATGTTTAAGTAAATACAGGACAGATTAGGTGGTTAATGTTAAGACAAAAATAAACAAGTTAAGGGCCGGTACTCCGAGCAGTACCTGCGTGTGTGTGGACAATTAGTTGGATTCTGGATGTATTTTGAAAGTGGAGTCCGTGAGCTTTGCTGACGGACTGTATGTGAGGAAGGAGAGAGAGAGGAGTCAGGAACGACACCAGGGCGTGTCGTGTGGCTTGAGCAGCTGGAAGGAAACAGTTATTCCTTTATCTTGCCCTGACTCTTCTGTCTTCTTCTCTCGCCCCACTTCTTCAGTTTCCATTTATAGCGGCTTGTCGATACTTATTCTCAGCCAGAGCCTGAACAGAACAGGTCTGTGCTCTCTTTTCCACATTCCTTCACGTGGGCTGTGCTGCTGCTGCTGCTGTTGACCTTCCGGCCCCATCCTTTCTCCTCCAAAGGCATATGGCTTCTTGGCACAGCGTGTCCTCGTCAGCTCTGCCACCGGGGCTGCCTGGGATGACTGCAGGGAATCTTAGCACTCCTGGTGTTGACAACAAGAATATTTTCCCTCCCTCCCTCCCTCCCTCCCTCCCTCTCTTTTTAATGTATTTTTATTGATTTCAGAGAGGCAAGGAGAGGGAGAGAGAGAGAGAGAGAGAAACACCAATGATGAGAGAGAATCACTGACAGGCCGCCTCCTGCAGGCCCCCACATTGCTGGTTTTCTGTGCTAATTGTGAGCCACTTGAGGGTAGGACCCTGGTCCAATTCTGAATCTTTCCTCCTCACATAGGGGCCTGCCTCCTCTATTGTCTATTTTCAGTTTGTTACGTCTCACCATTCTCCTTTCAAGCCCCAGCTACCTCGCCTAGCTCATATCTACCTAGCTGCCTATTCTAACAGTTTGATTCCTACGTATTTATACTCTCAGCTGCTTAGGCCCACTCTGACCTGTTACTTATCTTTGAAATACAACCGCTAGTTCAGCCAGACTAAGTTCTTCCTGATTGCTCCCCTTCTCACTCCTGCCCACACCTCTGTGAGTTGTTTGACTCCCAGCCATTCACACCTCATATGTTCTTTAGGATTGAGCTTGAGTCCCATTCCCAACTCTGTCCCTCAACTTTGACCTCCACTGAGCTCTCTTTTCTTGAGACTTTAAATACCTTTTCCTCCGGAAGTAACTCCCGGAGCTGTTTGATGCGATTCTGTCTCATCATGTCAAACACCTTTGGTTGTCCTTGTGCCTTGTTACTTGTGTTCACACTAGTGAGTGCCTCAGCCAACCTGCCCTGCACCTCACCTCTGCTTCCCCTGCTTTCAGTCCAGTTTCTAAAACTACGGCGAGACCTTTTGAAAGTCTATGAGGGTTTTTGTCCTATTGTGGTCAACTCCACGATGCTGTTTCTAGTCCCTGTTTTCCTGATAAAAATAACCCAGGCCAACACGGCCTACACTATTTTTAACTCCAGATACTGGGAGAAAGGTCTGCTCTGAAGGTGAAATGAAGTTTTACACCATTGCCTGGGCCCAGTCTCAGTTGGTCAGGTTACAGCTGGTGGTCGGATTCTGCCTGTCCGTGAATCTTGAAGGGCTAGGACCTGCGTGTCTTACCGCCCTTACCCCCCACCAGTGGTGTGGGCACGCGTCGCTTCAAAACAAAGAAACACAATGGATGACCCGCAGAGAGAAGCCTGAGCTCAGTATCGCTGCCACGTGATCGAGGTGCAGAGGAAAACATTTCAAGAGCAAAATTTTAAGCTCCTAAAATTATCATAGAATCATCATAGTTTTGATTTGGCTTTAGAACAAGAATTTTTTCAAATTTTCAAATAATATTAAAGGAGGTTTAAGAGTTATGTTTAACAAAAGAGCACATGGGTTAATCAAGACCAGAACTATTTCTTCTTCGTTTGTTTGTTTTGTTTTGTTTTGTTGTTGTTTTTTAAGCCAGTCAAGCAGTGGGGGGTTAGTGATACTAACTTTAGGTAAGTTCTGGTGACCCACTGCCATCGGACCAGCCCAGAACTATTTCTTAGGATCAGGAAGCCTTTGGCTTTAACCACATTCATTCTTATGATCAGGAAACCTTTGGCTTTAACCACATTCAAGCATTTAATCAACTTCATGGAAACAGTTGACTTAACTGTTTAAAGAGGACACTGGTGGTGCTGATCATGGAAACTGGCCAGCATAGAGGTCATTTGAAATTGGTCTTGAAATACATACATACATACATACATACATACATACATATTTATGCTTATAAAGGATTTCTCATGCGAATTTTGCTTAATTTTTATATTTAAAATGTTTTCATTCTCTTAGTACAGTTTTTTAGTTGGTAAAGGAAGTAGCCTGAGATTTAGTGTTTACCACAAATTATTTATGTACAAAGAATGGTTGTAGTTTATAGTGGTTACAACCTAGAGTATTTTGGAATCAAATTTCTTGAATAAAGAAAATTTGGCTAAAAATTATGTGATAATAGATAGCATCCCTTCCCAAAAGCTTACAAGTTTTTCCAAGGTAATTATGGTTATGTTCTTTGTTTTGCTCTGGGCCCATTTAGAAATCTGATGGAAGCTATATACCTTCTCACCCTAAAAATGAACATACAGGCAAAGTTTTGCTTATAATTAAGCCCATCCATAGTCCCTATATTAAGAATCCCTGTTCCAAGAAGAGTTCTAAAGAACAAACAAAACAAAAAACATTTGTAAGCATTTCATGCCTGGCTGTGGGAGAGCGAGGGCCTGTGTTTACTCAGTTGCTGTGCTTGCCCCCTGTCTATGGAATTATGCTTTGCCTCTCCCTCCCCCCCTTTATAGTTGTCAACTTAAGTCATAGCCTAGTGGTATACATGTACACACTCTGAAAGATGTTTGCCTTGTACGATCTGCTATAAAATGAAACAAAGTTAAGTGGTAAGTACCAGGATGGAAACCATGACCTCAGTGAGAACGTCTTCCCTGGGAGCATATGGTTCTAGGCACATCTGCTGTGTTTGTGCAATTTTCTTATAAAAGACTTTATCTCCAATGGTTAATACAGGATTGGAATTCTTTCCCTCTTCCCTCTACCCCAGTGGTTCTCAACCTTCCTAATGCCGCGACCCTTTAATACAGTTCCTCATGTTGTGGTGACCCCCAACCATAAAATTATTTTCGTGGCTTCTTCATAACTGTAATGTTGCTACTGTTATGAATCGCCATGTAAATATCTGATATGCAGGATGTATTTTCATTGTGACAAATTGAACATAATTAAAGCATAGTGATTATTCACAAAAACAATATGTAATTATATCTGTGTTTTCCGATGGTCTTAGGTGACCCCTGTGAAAGGGTCGTTCGACCCTCAAAGGGGTCGTGACCCACAGGTTGAGAACCACTTCTCTACCCCTTCACAGTGTCCTGTTCCCTGCTCCTGTTCATGTGTCTTATCTTGTTTTTGTACTTGTTACTGGCAGTAAGATTAATCTGAGTTTTTAAAAAATGAAAACTTTATAGTACACGAGGGCTGGGGTGGAGGAGTACTTTCAACAAAAGTGAAACTAGAGTTCATATCGGTTGGTTTTGTTTATATTATTAATAATTTCTGTAATTGTTAGATCGGAGGCATCTCTTGGTAGTGCAGGTAGGAAGTGTCTCTAAAATATGGAAGAGCAGTTTGTTCCTGTGGCTAGTTCTCAGGAACGGCCTGGTGTTGCATAGTAACCGTAAGGTTTTCTCTCATGCACGTTTCCTCTAAAGATTCTTGCAGGTGTTCTTTATCCTGGAAATCTCTCGGGAAGGGAGAGCAGTAAGGGGGCAGGTGACTGGACAGGAATGGGAGCAGGACCTGCTGGCCCTGCTCTGGATTCTAGTTACCTGGGAAGTCACTCAGCACCTCTCCAGTCTCTCCAGCTATGACATTGGAATAATGCTGACCTAATTCATAGAAGAAATGTTGAGTAATTGATTATTATAAGAAGCTTTTAAAGAAGTGATTATATTTTTCGCTCTCAGCAGTGCCTTTTCAAAGTATTCAAACTTGACCTCAGCTGCCTTAATTCTAAACCTTTGCTCACATTCATTGTGTTGGTTAAAGTTCAGCTTAGATTCAGAATTCTTGACTTGTTTTTAATGAAAACGCATCTGGTTTTGCTTGGGCAATTGGCACATAGCCTTGGCTCTGTGAAAACAGAAACTGGTCAGTTTATAAGGGTCATGGATAATGAAGTGATTCAAACTGAGGGAACCCCTCCATCAAAGGATCTTTCTCCCTTCACACCTTCCCCTTAGCAGAGTGAAGTCAAATGGCAATAAATATTTCATTAATAATCATTAATTTAATTATTTAAGGTACATTTTAAGAATCAAAACCCTTAGATGTTAATTTTGTTTATTTTTAAAAATTTTAAAGAGTTTATTTGAGCTAAACCGATGACAAATGCCAGGAAGCAACATTTCAAATGCTCCTAGATGTTAATTTTAAAAGCTAGTCATGTGTACAAATAAGTTAGTATCTATGTGAAAAGATTGGATCAAATCACATACAAATGAGCTTATACTTACAGTTTTTATTGATGTAAACATAGATTAGATTGTTTTGTAACTTGTTGCTATTATTTTTAAAAAATATATAGGAAGGGAGAGGGAGAGAGAGATAGAAACATCAGTGATGAGAGAGAATCATCGATTGGCTGCCTCCTGCACCTTCCCCCCCTACTGGGGGTCGAGCCTGCAACCTGGGCATGTGCCCTGACCAGGAACTGAACTGTGACCTGGTTCATAGGTTGATGCTCAACCACTGAGCCATGCTGGTCGGGCGCTATTACTTATTTGATATTTCTTTTATCTACCATATAGTCTATAATAGGAGGCTTTTAAAACAAAATCCTAAAAGTTAATTCTTTCTTTCCTAAAACAATATGGGATATTTGGGGGCTAGCTATCTTTCATTCATGCTTTGTAGCTTCTTTAACAATATCATCTTGTGGATATTATCAACTCATAGAATTACTTTAGTGTCATCACTATTGAATTTGATTCATTTAATAATCCTATATAATAAAAGGCTAATATGCAAATCGAGGTGGAATGACCGGAGCTGCCTATTGGTGGTCAGTGCACTCCCACAGGGGGAGCACTGCTCAGCCAGAAGCCGGGTTCACGGCTGACAAGCGCAGTGGAGGTGGCGGGAGCCTCTCCCGCCTCTGGGGCAGCGCTAAGGACCCCTCGGGGGATGTCCACCTGCTGGCTTAGGTCCAGGGAGCGGGCCTAAGCCAGCAGGGGGACATCCCCCGAGGGGTCCCTGACTGAGAGGACACAGGACGGGCTGAGGGGACCCCCCCCCCCAACCCCCAGTGCACTAATGTTGTGCACCGGGCCTCTAGTAAGCTAATATAACCAGAGAAAATTTTGGCAATAAAAATTTTTAAAGCTCATAATTTCACTCCTAGGAATTTAATTTTAGGCACCAAGGATATGTACAATGGTAGAGCTTTAAAACTATTTTACAATATTATTTATAATAGCAAAAAGTTTTTAAAAACATTTTAAGGAGAAATCCGAAAAATGCTTGATAAGTTCTGTTTTATATGTTTATCATTTACAATTAGTCAAAAAT